AATTTTAAATAGGGAATAATTTTTAAAAATTTTCAAAGATTTTAAATATGACACAGCTATTAATATATTTGCTTTTTAATTGGTTTTATAGGGGAAATGTTTTTTTGTGTTGTTTTTTAACATGCTGTGAGCCGCCCTGAGTCCCTCTGGGGAGAAGGGCGGCATAGAAGTTTAAATATAAATAAAATAAATAAATAAATAAATATAAGGAAGTAGATAAAGAAGACCCACTTAAAATATATAAAAAATGTACTCTTATGCCAAGTACATTTGCAATCAATTGTTAAAATCATAGTTTAAACACAGAAATGAAATTAATTTTTTCCTCAGTAGACTGAAAAACATGTTAGAAAATTTCTTACGATAGCTGACACAGAAAATACTTTCCAGCTTAAAGTCAAAATACTTTTCTTTCTTTCACTTCTGCAGCAAATTTCTAACTAAATTGCCAATGCCAAAGCCAAGTACTTTGCTTATTGCAACAATACCATACTGATGATTTAAAGGAATCTAATTTATTAAAACATGTGTATAGCTTTTTCTTCTCATCGTTTTTATCCATCTTTTATCAATTACACAATTATCGAAGTGTTAAGTAATGTGAAGCAAAATACAGCCTGTAAGTCTATCCTACAAAATTGGTTTCTTGTGAAAATTACTGAAAAAACTATTCTATAGAGTGTTCTTTTAGCACAATTATTGAACGGAACAATACCAATGATGCATCATCCTGACACTTACACAGCAGCAGATATTTTATATAATAGAAATACCAGAGTATACATTTCTTCATACTTACCTTTGAAGATCTCAGGACCTCATGTTGGGGGAAAAGGGAAAGGCCACATGTCCCTGGGCTACATGGCTTCCTCCACGAAGCAGCTACCATTTTCAATGCTCCCACAATCCCTTGAAGTTACACCAAAATTGCAGCCAGGGGCAAACCACTTCATTCTATTTCCCTAATGTGGTCTGCACAGTGCTGAAAAAAGCTCCAGAGTTCTTCAAAAGGTAAGTGAGCGATGGGTGATGGGGAGCAAGCCCAAGCCTTGCAGGGACCCAGGGGAGAGGTAGCAGTCCCAAGGGTTGTGGGGACCCCTAGGAGTAGGAACTGGAGCACAGGGGGTAGGGGAGGCCTGGGCCAGATTGTCCTGGGATTGTGTTAGTCCTCCCATGGCCTCTCCCAGCCCTGGGGCACCCTGTGCTCCACTTAATGGCCAGTGTACTTACTTGGCTAGTGCATCAGGGAGAGCAGGAGTGGGGGTAATGAAGAGAGGCTGTCTCGCTTAACAGCTGTCACCCCTTAGGACTATAATAGGTAGGCTCTGTTGTGTTTGAAGGTTGCAGACTACCTGTACTATTAAAATTTAGTACATTTAAAGCAGAATTTTATTTAATGAAATATTTATCCAATATTTATTTATCAAATATTTATACTGCCTTTCACTCTCCCTTGTGTGTAATGCTTTGATCATAGGGTTTCTGCTTTGCCCCAGTCTCA